AAAATCATGGTCCCTTTAGGGAACCCTATACAATACTACTCTTAATATGGCACCCTACAGTTTGGGAACCCAAAAGACACTCAAATTGGACAACCACCCATCTGGGGTTCTGTTAAAGGTTCACTCGTTTTGGGCGAAAGACAGTTGTGGAGGTCTAATGTTTAGAGTTTAGGGCTGAGGGTTTAGGGTTTCGGGCCTGCCGTGCTGTCGGGTTCCAAAAACGGAAACGAGAATGTCTCAACAAGAGCGGCCCGCTTGTTCAAGCTTCGTTTGCGATTCAAAACCACCCTAGCACTAGGGTTTAAAGGTCCTCAAACCCGCCTGAGAATTCGGGAACAACGACTACGGGGTGTGACAAGCCATCACAGTAGATGTAGGGGATGTGGGTGATCACATCAACCATGTACTCACAACCTCCAAGGTACCTCTTGACGTAGCGCTGGGAACGCTTCTCATCACTCCAAGCAGAGATGACATCGATGAGACATCTGACAACTTCTTCACTCGGTTCTGAAGAGACATCCATGGAAGAACCAACAACAGCTGTCGCAGTACCAGACTCCTGGGCTTGACGTTCGAGCTGTACACAATGCCCTGAAGAATTAGACATGGCTTTTCGGGAGGCTTGAACCCTCAACTGGCCAAGATTCTATATTATCGGAACCCTAAACCCTAAACCCTAAACCCTAAACCCCTAAAGCCCTAAACCCTAAACCCTCCTATGAATGAAACAAGGGCCTCCATTCTTGATCAGGGTTTGGGAGTTTATGGTTTTGGGTTTAGGGCTAAGGGTTTAGGGTTTAGGGTGTCTGTATATTCGAGTAAGCACAAATATCATAAGGAACCTTACTTGGAGGACCGTGGGACATGGCAACTAGGGTTATACACAAGGTAACCACGGCTAATTGCTTAGAACCCGTATTAGGGTACAAATAACCCTGCTTACTACGTCCACTCATAGTACCCGTATGGATCACTTAAGGGGACTACTGCTAGCTAGTGCGACCCCTATATGAGGTTGTCGTCATCGCTGAGGTTGGAGGTTGACGGGAACCAGCGGCAAACATAGGGTGATGCAGAAGAGGGGGGGGCAACGAAAGTGCTTAGGTTCTCAGGGTCCCAAACCCTAAACCTTAAACCGTAGAGCTCTTAGGGTCCTTAGGGTTCTTTGGGTTTGGTTCAGGATCCTCAGGAGTTTGGATTAGGGGTTTTAGGGTTTAGGGTTAGGGGTTTAGGGTTTAGTTTAGGGTCTTAGTTGGGAGTTAGGATTAGGGGGACCCTTGGAAAGACGGATCCTCTGAACAAGGTCACTTTCAAGACGACCATAATTAGGGTTAAGAAGGCTCCCCTTTAAGCGGTCTCCGATTTGCTACCTAGCAGTATTGACACCTACAATAGACGTTAGGGGCGTCAAAATAGTGTCATTACACGTGGACAGTACGCAAGGGAGGGACGTGAGTTTTCCGTATCCGGACATTAGCACCGACCCAAAATCCAAGTACCAGTACCTAAATATTGGGACAGAGTTTTGGATACTATTAAACAGAAACTGTTGATCGTCGGGAAATTCCCTGCAAAATCTCTGTGTAGTGGCTGATGGGGGTTCCGACAAACCCATAGTGATCATAGTGGAGCAAAGGGGCAGGTTTGGGCGCAGGCTCACATGGCTGCCGCGTGTGCTCCGGATTTGGCGGCATGGCTGAAAACCCTTATTGAACCCTGAACCCTACCTCAAACCCGACACGGCGGCAACTTAGGAATTAGGACTGTGGAGTAGGGTATGGTCAAACTATTGTAGCCCATTTACATTACTGAATGAAGGATCTCAGTTTCAAGCTCGGTGTGTTCGCGTGCGGGTGTTGGATCTTGAGTTTCGGTTTATCGCCGGCCATGTGCCGATAATGAACCCTGTAAGTAGAAACGTGAGATGGGGCCGTGTGCTCAGGAAGCCGCTGAATTTTGAAAGAGTCACTGCAGCGCCATGTCCACAGCTCGAGTCAACACGACGCCAAACGGGCAAAAGAGGGGAAAATATAGACCGCGGAAGCCACCCTGCACGAAGTACGCAGTACGCGTGAAGAATTTTTGCCGCCGCAAAGCTAGACGGAATCCTCCTCCCAAACAGCCCTTCAAAAACAGGACGTCCTTCTTCAACTTGTTCACACCCCAAAACGCCAAACAATAACTTCGGAAAACAAGGCGGCCAGAAAACCCTGCATCCGTTAACTGCCTCTCCGTTGGTATACAGGGCCCTGTCACTGTACCGAATACTGGATGCTTGAGTCAATCAGGGTGCCGACAAATCCAAAAAGACGTGGAACAGCAACACGAGGCCGGATGAAGAGGGAGCATAACAAGATCCCTGCATAGATCTATGCCCCTTTTCGTTTGCCCTCTCTAAACCCTACATCCTAAACCCCCTTTTGAAGCCGCCCACACACTCCGAACCCATGCGCCTGAAGCCCTGACTAAAAACTTTCAGGCCTAATGCAGGAGCCTGAATAATTAGAATAAGGTTCTGGGGCCCATTGCACTATAGTTGAACAAGGAGCCCCCAAAAGAGAATTAAACCCTAAACCCTATATAAAACCCTGAACCCTAAAACCCTAAACCCTAAACCCTAAACCCTAAACCCTAAACCCTAAACCCTGAACCCTAAACCCTAAATTGGTAATTATTGTAGGCCCCTACATTAGAACCCTCAGCCTCGTCAGCACCTGAATCTTCTGGCCAGGGTTCATCTTGTGGCGGGTTTAAGGTTTACCTTAAGAACCCCAAACCCACTTTTTGGTAGGTTCTTATTATGAACCCTTATATGGGATTTATAGGGACCCTACAAAAAAGTAGGTTTTGGGTTTAAGGTTTAGGGGCTTTGGGTTTACAGGTTTAGGGTTTAGGGGTTGAAGAGGTTTAGGGGCTTTAGGGGTTTAGGGTTTAGGGGTTTAAGGGGTTTTAGGGGTTTAGGGGTTTTAGGGGTTTAAGGGGTTTCAGGGGTTTTAGGGGTTTTAGGGGTTTAGGGTTTAGGGGTTTAGGGGTTTAAGGGGTTTAGGGTCTAGGGGTTTAGGGGTTTTAGGGGTTTTAAGGGTTTTAGGGGTTTAGGGTTCAGGTGTTTAGGGTTTAGGGGTTTAGGGGCAGGTAGAGGTAAAGGAGCCACTATCGGAACTCAAAGAGCCCTTATAGAAATCCATACCCGAAACCCCAAACTCTTACAAGAACCCAACCCTCAACCTCATAGGAAGCTTCATAGCACTCCTCTTACGGCCCTATTGACACGTAGAGGATTATCGGACTTAGAAACTAGATCATAAACAAGGTAACTATAGTTGTACTTACTTCTAACTCCAATTACGGCTAGCTACTACCCAGACCTTCGGAAGGATCCAGAATCTAGAAAGTAGATCCCCTAATTTGGGACCCTACACTACTAACGGGTTCTTGTTGAGGACCCCCATTCATTAAGGGATCTCCTTGTTGGATCCTTCTGTAAGGGGTTCCGGGTACGTCCATGGCATCCCTGGAGACTGGGAGACTGCGCCAGCTGCTGCATCAGCTCGGGTCCACTCCGGATCCGCCTCTAACTGTTTAGGGTTTAGGGGTTTAGGGTTTAGGGCTTAGGGCTGATGAGGGCCATCGCTTTACAGCCGAATCTACATTCCGATCCTGCAGTCAGAACCTCCTCAAAGAATAATCTGCAAACACCCCCTTCGAAGAACCCTAAACCATAGACCTGCGGGTTTGGAGATTTTCAGTTGCAGGTTTAGCATCTAGGATTGAATGTTTGGGGTTAGGGTCCCGTCTAAATTCCCGAATCACTTTCTCATAAGGGTACCCAGTGCTGGGAAGGAGACCCGAAATCAATACTGGTAACTAAACCCTAAACCCTAAGCCCTAAACCCTAAACCCTAAACCCTAAAACGCTATAAGGATACTTTGGAGTCCAGGTTTAGGGTTGCTCAGCGGTTTAGGGTTTAGGGTTTAGGGTTTAGGGTTTAGGGTTTAGGGTTTAGGGTTTAGGGTGAAGGGTTTAGGGTTTAGGGTTTAGGGTTTAGGGTTTAGGGTGAAGGGTTTCGGGGCATGTAACGTAATCTATACGGGGAGAAACCCCCGTGGACATCCCTGATACGAGGACACCCACTCCCATGCCCCTGGGACCAGCGTCCGAGCACACTAAAGCGCTCCACCCTAAACCCTAAACCCTAAACCCTTGAAAACGTAAGCGAAAACATCATATTTCATAGTTCAGATTGGGCTTTCGGGTGTCTTTCAGCATCAGAAGGACTGAAAGCTTCCAGATCATGTTGTGGAGATCCCTGAGATGCCTGCAACAAATGTCACAACCTAGCAAAACAAACAGCCCGTCACAACCCTTTCTTTATACACTCCATGAAGCCTTCCAGGCCGGTGCAACAAAACTTCAAGACATGTCAAGCCGTGGTTTAGGGTTTAGGGTTTAGGGTTTAGGGGTTTAGGGGTTTAGGGGTTTAGGGGTTTAGGGTTTAGGGTTTAGGGTTTAGGGTTTAGGGTAGAAAAGTAAACATCTCAAACCCCACACCCTACCCGAGAACCCGAACCCGCAGCCCTGCAACCCTACACCCATCCAAGAGGCCCTAAGCCCTGAAACCTTAAACCCAGACGGCAGCAACGTCCAGAACTCTAAAACTACAAAACCCCCGCTAAACCAAAGACAAATCCACAACGCTACGCACTGAAAACCCTAAACCCTGAACCCTGAACCCTAAACCCAAAGCCCTAAACCCTAAGCCCTAAACCCATGGCAGCGGGAGACTACCTGAAGCATAAGGGTCTCAGTAAGTAGGTCGTACTTGGGCTTAGGGCTGAGATCGGAAGGCTTTGGGTTCAAGGTCTAGGGTTAGAGCTTAGAGTTTAGGGTTTTAGGGTTTAGAGTTTAGGGTTTTAGGGTTTCGGGTTTGGGGTTTTACGGTCTAGGGTTTAGGGTTTGGGGTTTGGGGTTTAGGGTTTAAGGTTTAGGCCCTAACTCAGGTTCTCCAGATTGTAACCATGCTTCTCACCTACTCTTCGCACGGCTTTTGGAGGTCTTTTCCGCCTCCGCTAGGCTGTTGTGTGGGGAGATGCGGTCTTGCCCCGCATTCCATCGCTGCCGTGCCTTCATCCAGCTGTCTGGCGACGGTGCAGGAGACGGACTGTCGTAGTGGTACACCTGCCGTACTTTGACGCGGCGAAGCCTCGACCGCCGCGCGGCTGGCCTTCTTCCGCGCTCTGCGCAGGTTGCGGAACGCCTGCCAGTGGATGGCCCACCAATTGTCGCCACCCTCGCACTCGGTGTCCCAGCTCTCGCCCAGCTTCGCGAGTGTCTTCGCATCGTCAGAAGCATCGCCCAGAGACTCGAAGAATGCCAACAGTCGGTCGAAATTAGTTACTTCGGGTTTAGGGCGATGTCTGGCCTACTTGGAGGGTGGGTGGGCTTAGTAAGTAGGTCACAATGTATGGTAACGGTATGATCCTACTTGTAACTTATAACCCTACTGAAGAGTAACAACTTCTCAAGTCCCCCCCCAGCAAGTGTTTTTCGATCCACCCAGAATCACTGGATCGCTGAAGACGCTTGGGGAAGGGAGAAGGCTTCAGTGTATACTGGGAGGGATACACAAGTCTGACTGGACACAAGGAATGTACCTGTCGGACGACCTGTCGGACTTGCGACGTGCGAAGAGGAACAACAACCCCGGCAGCCATGCGTTTACAAAGTCTTTGATAGAGTTCTGAAGAGGTGTTGTAGGGTTTCAACAGGGAGTTTCGAAAGAGCCGGAATACCTGGGAATATGGTTTCAGTGGTATATATTCTAAGTACAGATCTAGTATAATTAAGGAACCCGACGGACTAGTAGTACTAATTATTCTATTCCCTCCATGCTACACGGATCACAGGTCTTGTGTAGGTTTTAAGCATTGGGGTTCTTTTCGGAAGCCCTAAATCCCTAAACCCTAAACCCTAAACCCTAAATCCCAAACCCTAAACCCTCGGCCTTTGTTGAATGCTTAGGGTTCTGTTCGGGGCGGGGGTCCAGGGCCTTCTAGAAGTAAACCTTAACTCAAACCGGGGGCGTGTGGACACACGGTGTAGGGTTTTAGGAGTTTAGGGTGTAGGGTTTGGGGTGTGGAGTTTAGGGACCCTACACTACGAAGGGGGTCTTGTATGGGAACTTCATTAAGGGATCTACTCTTCGGATCCTTCCGGCCGGGGTTTTGGGACGGTTTAGGATTAGCGTTCAGGGTTTACCGTAGCTTTTCACGATTAACAAGGGCGCTCAGATATGATTATTGGTGTTCAAGTTGACTAAGAAGATTGCCCTTTGGTTCGCTGATTCTCGGACAGGACTCCTTTTGGACAAAATACCTTGCTTAAGGGTTTATTCTGTCCACTCTTTCTTTTGGAACTCTGATGAGGACAACTACGCGTAGCTACTCCTTGTTTTGGAAACTTCAAAAAAACAAAACCCTAAACCCTAAACCCTGAACCCTAAACCCTAAACCCTGAGCCCTAAACCCTGAACCATAAACCCTAAACCCTTCGACCTCGATCCCTCGGAATGCAAGGCTTCCGCTCAGGGTTTAGGGCCTTGGATCTGACTTACTTCCCCAACAAGACAGGTTTAGGGTTTGGCGTTTAGGGCTTGGGGCCTAAGGGCTATAAACTGTCAGATTGCTACTGAAGTAT